TAAGGATATGTTACTTGGGAAAGGAGATTCTGTTTATATTTCCACAGAAAATGAAAAGCTGAGGATTCCTTCCAGGCTTCTGTGGTTTGATAAACCAAGACCCCCGGAAGCAGTGGGCCAGGTGTTCCAACAATTGAGACAGCTAAGATGATGGAGCTTTACAGACCCTGAAACTAAGGACTTATACAGGTTTCTGAGTTTTGTCATGATCCCCATGGTATGAACAGCGCCCCCTTCCAGCACGAAGCAGTTTGGAATGAGCGACATCCCATCTTGTTTATAAACCTTTGTTTTCATTTAAATGGGTTGTTTATAATTGGCTAATGATCACAGCCAATCTCTTTTTAATGGTAAAAAGGGGAATTACGGTATGGGTATGGTTTTTCATTTATTGATACAAATTCAAGGTCAACTTTGTGATATGTATATTTCTCCTCTTGATTAAGTATTGTGCTTATACTGATCTTTTAAAACGCAATGCATAATTGAATACAGACTATAGATAGTTACTTATAATAGAATTTATAGTTAGGTAAGTTAGGTTTCTACATATACAGAAATATATTTGAGATAGATAAACAGTCTTCAAACCTCTCAAAGACCTTCAGAAAATGGCATTTAAAATGGTTTAGGGTTTTTCTTGACAATGAGAAATATCTGTTCCTGGCAGCACCAATTACGTCTGAGAGGAAGATGGGCATCGAAGAAACTTGTTATGGAGTTTGCTTTCAACATGGCAAGATTAGCCATTTGGGCAAGAAACTGCTCTTGCCTAGACTGTTTGACTGTTGCTGTATAAACTGGACATGCAGGACCCACAGGAAAGTGACAGCTGAACTCAAATAGTCCTTCAGGGTTCCTGATTCATGGAAGAGTCTAAGAGACTTTCTGCAGGACACAGAAAAATGGCTGACAGACTGCTGATGCAGATGGACAGTTTGAAATTTCCTGCTTTGCTGAGAAATCTTCTGGACACACTGTGGCCTATGGGCTGAAGATGGATGCCCCAACGTTACAAAAGAACTTCAGGTGACTGTCCAGGTAGCGAGATGTGTCTGTCAATCCTAGTATTTATATATTATCCTTCTGTGGTCTTTGATGGAGTTGAAGACAGATAGTTATAATTACAGTTTTCCTTAGTTATGATAAAAGATAAGCTACATATAGGACTTTGGACTCCCAAGAATGGGATGGATGATATTTTCTTTAAATCTTGCTAAATGTTGACAAAATATTGTAACTGTGTTCTTACTTGATAACGGTTCTGTTATATACAATTTGACCATGTTAAAGCTAAGACCTTTCTTTTTGTTTAGACAGAAAAGAGGAGATGTTGGGGAAGTCCTGTGTATATGTCATTAAAGAACTGCTGGCCAATAGGAATCTAGATAGGTGGGACTAGAAGTCCAGGAGGACTCTGAGAAGGAGAAACACAGAGAGTCAAGATGTAACACCATGGGGTAGGAAGCCAGGAAACTTCTCCGGTAAGAGACATACTTAGATTAACAATTATGGGGTAATTACTTAAGTCAGAGCTAGCCAGTAAGAAACAAGCAAGGCCAAAAACTTCATAATTAATACAGCGTCTTATGTGTTATTTGGGGACTATAATGCAGCAGAGCCCAGGCAACTGGCGGGTGATAAACCAAAGTGGCTAGCAAGGAAAAGCCTCTCTTTACAACACAGCATGAAAGGAGTGCTACTACAAATCTTCCCCTCACCTCAAACCTATTCCTACCATAGTCTTCATTTAAAAATATTTTTATTTCTTTGAAAATTTCATACAATGTATCATATTCACTTTCCCATACCTCCTCCAAGATCCACACTTACCACCCTATCATCCTTCAACTTTCTAGTTTTTTTTTATATTCAAAAACCCATCTGTTAAGAGAAGCTTTTTCTTTGCTAGCCGCTTTGGTTTATCCCCCGCCAGCCGCCTAGGCTCTGCCTCATTGCAGTCCCCAAATAAACACACAAGACGCTGTATTAATTACAAAGCTGTTGGCCTTGCTTGTCTCTTACTGGCTAGCCCTGACTTAAGTAATTACCCCATAATTGTTAATCTAAGTATGTCTCTTACCGGAGAATAGTTCCGGGCTCCTACCCCAATGGCGTTACATGTTGACTCTCTCTGTTTCTCCTTCCCAGAATCCTCCTGGACTCCTAGCCCCACCTATCTAGATTCCTATAGGCTCAACAGTACTTTATTGACAAATAACAGGCAAATAACAGGACTTCCCCAACATCCATCCACTCCAATTAAAGTTGTCCATTATTGTCTAACTATGGGACCATTCACTAGAATATGGTTCACCTACCAGGAGTCACACCCTTAAATAGAACTGACTGTACCTTATCTGGAAACCACCAACTGTCCATAGCTCCTCAATTAGGAAAGCAATTTCATGAGCACCTTCCTACTGGCTCGATCTTGTACAGGTCTTGTGAGGCACCCATAGTTGCTATAAGCACCCATACCTGCTATAAGCACAAGACAGAAGATCTTCTTCATTTTACTGTATAATCAGCTCATCCTCTCAACAGCTCAGAACAATGGAGAAAGTCCTCCTCTCTCTGACATCCTGCAGTCAACCTATTACTTGGTCTTGTTAGCCATATATTCACCATGTACTCAGAATCCAAATGCTTTTCCTACCTTCACTACTGGTGCCCTCATACGAGTCATTTTAATTTTTCATCTGGATCCTTCTGCTTTATCCCATTTTCCTCCATCAGTAGAAATCATAGTAAGCTTATAAAAATACAAACCATAATAAGGAATAACTAGAAAAGTGTTAATATACCTATATAACACGTGCTTGTTGAAAAATGAATATGCAGTTATGTGGAACAGGAGAAAGTTGGCAGTGGTGTTAACAGTGGTATTCAATTAAAAAAAGTGAGTCGTAGAGAGGAAGGGGTTATATAAGAGAAAATAAAAGAAGCAAAACAATGTAAGTGTATAGGTATCATAGGAAGTTTAGACTCTACTCAGTGATCAGGGGAAGGAGTAGAGAAATGAAAACATATAGATTTTCATGCCAAGGATCACTCTTACTGTGTGTAAAGAATATCATTTTGCTGGGTGTGCAGGTACAAAGCTCTTATGACTATAGTAGAGAAGCTGAGACAGGAGGAGAGCAAGTACAAAGCCAGCTTAAGTTGCATTGTGAAGTTCTGTCTCAAACAAATATAACCTCAGAAACAACAAGAATATATGTGTTAAACAACCAGGCTGAAAACTGAAAAGCATGCAAAGGCTCTTTGATACCCTAGGCAAGAGGCAATGCAGGCTTTAATAAACATAAAAAGAATAATGAGGGACAGAATGAAATAAGTCTTGAGATGTAGCAGAGGTACAGTAAGAACATAGGAGTAATATTGCAAGGCAAATATCAGTGCTGACTCCTCAGTTTTCCACTTAGATGCACCTCCTAAGACAGGACACCTAGAAAGACGGTGTATGTCAACAGGAGTAAAGCAGTCATTGCTGACACTTTGCAGTTAAAGAATGTCATGGTATCCAAGAATCTAGATAACTATTTAGTAACTAGAATTACGAAAATGAAGGTGACAAAAAAACAACAAAACTATGACTAGAAGATGCAAATTTTAAAATCATTAATTCATATGAGGTAGGTAAATGCTATTGTTTAATCTCATCTGGAACAAAGCTTGATGATTAATCCCTCATGAGAGCTTTAAAAAGCAGAAACTTAGAAGAGGTGGAAAGTTTATAGTGATGATGACAAGAAAACAGTGCTTTCCTAAAACACAGGGGAAATGGACATATGAGTTCAGACTGTGACAGCATACATGAGACCTGTACATGCTCAAGGCAGAGACAATCCCATCACAGAGGGAGGGTGATAAGCATAAAGCCCTACTCTTAGCTATGAAGCTATTGCCATTGGATAGCTGCTGAAAAAGAAAGGGTCGGACTCCTTTAGGGGTATGAACCCTTGTAGCTCAGTTCTTTTGGGAAGGCCCCCAACCCGAGTGTTTGGACAACACAAATTGGACTCAATGTATTAAAAAGGAGGGGTATGTGTATCTGGGAGTAGTCATGACTGAATATAATCAAAATATATTGTAGGAAATTCTCAAAGAATTAGAGTATTATTTTTAAAAGGGAAACTGAAGGGCTGGAGAAATGGCTCAGTGGTTAAGGGTTCTTCCTGTTCTTGCAGTGGGCTTGGATTGGTTCCTAGCACTCACATGGTGGCTTACACACATCCTTAACTCCAACTCCAGAGGACCTGGTGCCTCCTTCTGGTCTGTGTGGGCACCAGACAGACAGACAGACAGACAGACAGACAGACAGACAGACAAATAGACAGACAGACAGACACACACACACACACACTGCATACATGCATACATATATGCATGCATGCAGGAAGACAGGCAAATACACACATATGAAATAAAAATAATAATTATTTTTTAAAAGAAGCAAAAAGTTAATGTCACTGTGCCACTTTCAAGGTAGGGTCTGCAGAAGGCTATTAGGATTAGATGAGAGAAAGAACACACACACACACACACACACACACACACACACACACACACACACACACACACTGATTGGTGTTGACCAAATAATGTCATAGAGGGATACAGAAGCAAGAAGGCATCACCAGTTACATTTCTTTGATGTTGGGGAAGAATAATGAGTCAAAATAAACTTTCACTATAACTTTCCCAGTCTTATAGCCATGCAGCAGAAAGCAGACAAACATAATAGGATAGTTATGAGCTGATGAGACCAGGAAGAGGCATATGGCAAAATCAGAAGAGCAGGCAATGCTACCTAAGAAAAAAGTTTCTACTAGAGCCCAGGAACAAATGAAGGTCACAGCAACACAAGGTATGAAGTGAGAGAATTTTCAGATGGGAAAACTTGCACACATCAGTTCTCTAGAAACCTGGCACTATGAATTAGCACCTATTTACAAACCGACACGTTTCCAACATGACAATATTTTAAAATATACCTGTGTATTCCACTGAAGGGAAGCAGCATTCAGAGGGATTTTCGGTGAGATGAAGTACAAATTTTTCAAGTAGTTCTCCTAAAGCTGTAACAAACACAAGAGTAATTAGAATTTTAAAAGTCAAGAAGGGACAATGCGTGACAATGCATTTTAAGTCATAGACCAGCACATGAAAATTACCTGAGAAGGACTTGAGGGAGGAAAGGCTGCAGTCAGGATGTATTACATGAGAGAAGTTTTTTTTTAAAGGTCACCTGAACTCCACAGTTCTAAGGAGTTCAATTCGAAATGCAGACTTTTATTAATATTCACAATGTTTCTGATTTCAATTAAATTTTAATAACTTCTCTGTGAACTTATTCAGTATATAACTAATAAAGAATTATTTACTATATTTAGGTAACCTAATGATTACTTCAGAATTTGCCAAATGTTTTCAATGTACTCATTAGGTTATCATATTTTGTCATTTGTATACAGAAAAATAGTGAACTCTAAGACTCAGATTAATGCACAGCACATGTCACTTTCATTCTGTGACATATTATGCCTTTTATACTTTGTAGATGATGATATCTGTTCAAGGACCAGGTCAAACAAAGCATGCACTATCTGACTTAGAAGTGATAAAATGGTTCCTTTCTAGGCTGGTGTAATAACATCCCAGTGTTTGAATATATCCCACAAATGGATGCTCCGGGGATTATAATTAATATGCAACCCAGAGGAATTTCTTTATTTCTCTAAATAATTCTATCTGTACAGCAGCTGATTGCTTAACAACGAAGCAAGTAATCTTGAGCCACATTTTAAAATTGTGCCCTTCTCACATTTAGAATAGCAACCATGACCTTTATTAACTACATGGGTCCTACTTTACAGCCAAGTATATTTTAAGCATAAATTTCTTCAAAGAAAAATTAGTATTCAACATGTAAAAATCATATAATAAAAAAAGAATGGCGTGGCTTTCAGTAACTCTGGAGAACAAGCTATATAATATAGCATTTTGATGGCTAGAGATGAAAATGAAATGTTTTTATTCATTGAACTCTATTCGTTATATGATTTCAAAGTGAAATAAGCATTTAAAAACATGAAAATTCAATAGTCATGGCTTAAGAAATACCTGTGTGTACAGATCTGAGTTTGCAATTGCTTGGGCTGGTTCTATACTTTCAAACATTGGCACAAATTTATCAGATTTCTAAAATTGTTTCAAATGTCTTTCTTTTACGAATCCATATATAATATTCTCAGGTGACAAGTTTTAACAACTATGTCTATGAACTTTTTAGATAGATTTTGTAGAAGGACAATGTGATGAAGTTCACATATAATTATTCTTAATTTCATGGTTAAGACTAATAATCTAGCTGGATGGTGGTGGCGAATGCCTTTAATCCCAGCACTCAGGAGGTATAGGTAGGTGGATCTCTGTGAGTTCGTGGCCAGCCTGGTCTACAGAGCGAGTGCCAGGCAGGATAGGCTCCAAAGTTACACAGAGAAACCCTGTCTGGAACCCCCCCCCAAAAAAAGACTAATAATCTAAAGTGCAAGATACATAGTAACAAATATTATTCAGAAACATCATTTTAATGGAGATGTCCATTTAAACCTTCAATTATAATGTAGTTATCTTCATTGAGCTCAAGAATATTTGCTATGTGTCATTATTTAAGTATAACATTTGAAATAATGGGACAAATCAAAGCATATTGCTAAGCAATTACTGAGGTGAATTCTCTATTCAAACAAAGCATATTTTCTTCAAACACTAGGGGTTTGTTGCTGTTTTCGCACACAGGCTCATACTTCAATCTGCATGTTGCTGTGAACCTCACACCAGAAAACACAATACTTACCTATATGCGAGATACTGATACCTGCATGGGAGTTACTAGATTTGCTACTGACAGATGAGACTTGAGTAGGGACAGGATGGTTAAAGGGAGAGCTAGAGAAAAGCACAAGCCCATATCTCTTGCTACAGTGGAAACAAAGGGAGGGGTGGGGATTCTAATTTCTAATCCTCCAGCTACTAGGGAGCAATTGAAAAAATCTTATTTTGTTTTTTTGTATTTGTTTTTAGAGGCAACAAACTCAAAAAACCAGGAACATCTCCCAAAACCAAAAATGTATCAAAGGCCACCAACATCCTAGCCTTTTGGTGAAAGATTCTAAAACTTAGGGTGCAAGAAGCAATTCTTTTTTTTTTTTTAATATTTTTTTTATTTTCCATTTTAAATTTAGATAAGAAACAAGGTTGCTTCACAAGTCAGTACGAGGTCCCTCTCCCTTTCCCTCCCCTCCTCCCGTGCCCTCCCCCCCATCCCCCCCCCGTTATCCCCTCATTCCCCCAGGGAGGGTGAGGCCCTCCATGGGGGTGTCCATAGTCTGTCATTTCATATAGGGCAGGGCCTAGACCCTTCCCCAAGAGTTCAGGGTGAGAGTGCACCTCACATTGTTCTATGGGAGTCCAGAGACCGTGTGTATACTTGGGATGGGTACTGATCTGCTGTCCAAGGCTCAATAGATTACCTAGGCCTCCTCACTGACACCCATATTCAGGGAGTCTTGATCAGTCCCATGCTGGATTCCCAGGCTGATGCCTGGGATTCAAGAGTTAACCTTTGTCTGGTCAGCTGTTTCTGGGGGTTCAACCAGCCCAGTCTTAATCCCTTTGATCATCAGTCCTCCCTCTCTGTTACTGGCTTTCTTGAGTTCAGCTCAGTACTTAACCAGCCAGTAAATGAAGTTTCTGTTTCCCAGACTCTCTGGCAATAGGATTGTAGGCTGGCACTCCCCAGATCTATGTCTAAAATCCATATATGAGAGAGTACATGCCATGTTTCTCTTTTTGTGACTGGGTTACCTCACTCAGGATGGTTTCTTCTAGTGTCATCCATTTGGCTGCGAATCTCATGATTCCATTATTTTTTTCTGCTGAATAGTACTCCATTGTGTAGATGTACCACACTTTCTCTATCCATTCTTCGGGGGAGGGACATCTAGGTTGCTTCCAAGTTCTGGCTATTACAAATAAAGCTGCTATGAACATAGTGGAACAGACATCTTTGTTATATGAATGGGCATCTTTTGGATATATGCCTAAGAGTGCAGTTGCTGGGTCTTGTGGTAGGTTTATTCCCATTTTTCTGAGGAATCTCCATACTGCTTTCCAAAGTGGCTGAACCAGTTGGCACTCCCACCAGCAATGGAGGAGTGTCCCCCTTTCACCACATCCTCTCCAGCATAAATTGTCCTTGGTGTTTTTGATTTTAGCCATTCTGACAGGAGTGAGATGGTATCTCAGAGTTGCTTTGATTTGCATTTCCCGGATGGCTAAGGATGTTGAGCACTTTCTCAAGTGCCTCTCAGCCATTTTAGACTCCTCTATTGAAAACTCTCTATTTAGTTCTGCAGCCCACTTCTTAATTGGGTCCTTTGCTGTTTTGGAGACTTGCTTCTTGAGTTCTTTGTAAATTTTGGAGATCAACCCTCTGTCAGATGTGGGATTAGTGAATTTTTTTCCCATTCTGTGGGCTGCCTTTTTGTCTTGCTGACTGTGTCCTTTGCCTTACAGAAGCTTCTCAGTTTCAGTAGGTCCCATTTATTAATTGTTGATCTCACTGTCTGTGCTACTGGTGTTATGTTCAGGAAGCTGTCTCCTGTACCAATTCGTTCAAGGGTACCACCCACTTTCTCTTCTAAGAGGTTCAGTGTGGCTGGATTTATGTTGAGGTCTTTGATCCATTTGGACTTAAGTTTTGTGCATGGCGATAAACATGGATCGATCCGCATTCTTCTACATGCCAGTCTCCAGTTATGCCAGCACCATTTGTTGAAGATGCTTTCTTTATTCCATTGTATATTTTTAGCTTCTTTGTCAAAGATCAGATGTTCGTACGTGTGTGGGTTAATACCCGGATTTTCAATTCGATTCCATTGGTCTGCCTGTCTATTTTTGTGCCAATACCAAGCTGTTTTCAGGACTATAGCTCTATAATAGAGCTTGAGGTCAGGGATAGTGATGCCTCCGGACGTTGCCTTGTTGAACAGGGTTGTTTTGGCTATCCTGGGTCTTTTGTTTTTCCATACAAAATTGATTATTGTTCTTTCAAGGTCTGTGAAGAATTGTGCTGGGATTTTAATGGGGATAGCATTGAATCTGTAGATTGCTTTTGGCAGGATTGCCATTTTTACTACATTGATCCTACCTATCCAAGAGCATGGGAGATCTTTCCATTTTCTGAGGGCTTCTTTAATTTCTTTCTTTAAAGATTCAAAGTTCTTACGATACAGGTCTTTCACTTGTTTGGTTAGCGTTACCCCAAGGTATTTTATGTTGTTTGTGGCAATTGTAAAGGGTGATGTTTCTCTGATTTCTCTTTCAGCCCTTTTATCATCTGTATATAGTAGGGCTACTGACTTTCTTGAGTTGATCTTGTAACCTGCCACTTTGCTGAAGGTGTTAATCAGCTGTAAGAGTTCCCTGGTAGAGTTCTTTGGGTCATTGATGTAAACTATCATATCGTCTGCAAACAGTGAAAGTTTGACTTCTTCCTTCCCAATTTGTATCCCCTTGATCCCCCTTTGTTGTCGTATGGCTATAGCTAGAACTTCAAGTACCATGTTGAAAAGGTATGGAGAGAGTGGACAGCCTTGTTTTGTTCCTGATTTTAGAGGAATTGCGTTGAGTTTCTGTCCATTTAGTTTGATGTTGGCTGTTCGTTTACTGTATATGGCTTTTATTATGTTTAAGTATGTCCCTGTTATCCCAGATCTCTCCAAGACCTTTGTCATGAAGGGGTGTAGGATTTTGTCAAAGGCTTTTTCAGCATCTAGTGAGATGATCATGTGATTTTTGTTTTTCAGCTTGTTTATATGGTGGATTACGTTGATGGATTTTCGTATGTTGAACCATCCCTGCATCCCTGGGATGAAACCTACTTGATCGTGGTGAATGATTGTTTTGATGTGTTCTTGGATCCGATTTGCCAGTATTTTATTGAGTATTTTTGCATCAATGTTCATGAGGGATATTGGTCTTAAGTTCTCTTTCTTGGTTGTATCTTTGTGTGGCTTGGGGATCAAGGTTATTGAAGCCTCATAGAAAGAGTTTGGCAAAGACCCTTCTGCTTCTATTGTGTGGAACACTTTGAGAAGAATTGGTATAAGCTGTTCTTTGAATTTGTGGTAGAATTCTGCACTGAGGCCATCTGGACCTGGACTTTTTTTGGTTGGGAGACTTTTGATGACAGCTTCTATTTCCATAGGGGTTATAGGTCTATTTAAATTGCTTATCTGTTCTTGATTTAGTTTTGGCAAATGATAGCTGTCCAGGAAGTCATCCATTTCCTTTAAATTTTCGAATTTTGTGGAGTACAGGTTTTCAAAGTATGACCTAATGATTCTCTGGATTTCCTCAGAGTCTGTTGTTATGTCCCCCTTTTCATTTCTGATTTTGTTAATTTGCGTGTTCACTCTCTGCTGTTTGGTAAGTTTGGACAAAGGTTTGTCTATCTTGTTGATTTTCTCAAAGAACCAACTCTTCGTTGCATTGATTCTTTGTATTGTTTTCCTGGTTTCTACTTTGTTGATTTCAGCCCTCAATTTGATTATTTCCTGGCGTCTACTCCTCCTGGGGGAGTTTGCTTCTTTGTGTTCTAGAGCTTTTAGCTGTGATGTTAAATCTCTGGTATAACTGTTTTCCTGTTTCTTCATGTGAGCACTTAGTGCTATGAACTTCCCCCGTAGCACTGCTTTCAAAGTGTCCCATAGGTTTGGGTATGTTGTGTCTTCATTCTCATTGAATTCGAGGAAAAGAAGCAATTCTTAATGTTAAAAACAAATTAACTATAGAATACTGCCCTGAGATGTCTTTGAAGGATTTTAAATTATGGTTTTTCTACCTTTAATTATGCCTGGTCTCTGGGGTTGGAACACAGTTAAGAGACTAAGGTTATATTTATAGGTCTAAAAGAGCTCATGAGTTTTCTGTAGATGAAAAACTGAAGGCAGAAATTGAAAAAAAAGTGCCGTCTTCACTCATCTCTTGACCCACCTCAACCCTGATCCTACCATAATGTTAATACTTCCCCAATCTCATAAAAGATAATTACTCCCCACTGTTGTGGAATAATCTTTCTGTGCACTGTGAAGATGTGTCTTTGCCAAGGAGCCTTCTGATAGGTTTAAAAGAGCTGAATAGCCAGATAGGTAAGCAGACAACAAGCCTACACCAGTCACAGAATCTGCCTGAACCCCATCTGTCTTCCCAGCTTTCAAAACTGTGAGAAACAAATTCATATTTTAAAATTGTAACAAACCAGGTAAACTGTAGCCCCAGGAAAGGCAGGGGACCCTCCAAGCTGCTTGCCACAGACAGCTCAGTCCATAAAAAGGCTTAGGAGTGCTTTGACTACTGGTTCGCTCAGAATTACAAGTCTCTTGGGGGGCAGTGAACTTTTCCAGTTATCATTATGTTTCCTGCACACACAGGTGGAGATCTTCAGGAGCCACCGCTTCTGTTAAAATAACTGTATGCAGGCATTCCCAGTAGAAGACGCCACACTCACCACCTCCACTGACTGCATCGGGCCGGGACTTCATTGTCTTACAAAACTGTCTTCGGCAGTTTTCTATCCACTCAGTTTGTTTATCAGACATTTTGAAGCATGATAAAAGCTTTCCAATATCACTGTCTAGAAAGAAAAATAACATGTCAGAATATTACAAACTAGGTAGAGTCAAACATCCGTACTGAAGCTAACGGGGTTAAGGATAACACTAATAACAAAATAGAGCAATGATAATTTTTTACAAGAAAATAACAGCACTCAACTCTGCATATTAGAGCCATAAAATAATTGAGGGTTAACTGAACATTAGTACACCAAAATTGACAATTATCAGAGTGGCACTCAAGGACCAATGGGCAAACCACAAGCACAGCACATAAGTAGACAGGGAATGTTTCTCATCTAAGACAGGAAAAGTTGAGCCGGCAACAAAGAACCTCATCAGATTGCCTACAACATGTACAATTTTCAAATTATTATTTAGATTTGAGATTTCCTACTTAATAGTTTCAGACTTTGGTTGGCACTGGGTAACTGACCATGGAAGGTGAAGCTACAGGTAAGGATAAACTACTGCCTTCCTGTACATGTTCACACAGAGAGCACACACAGAGAGAGCAGTCTGACTGAGGTGCAGAAGGTTCATGATCTAAATTACAGTTTTAATTAGTCTTACAAGGCTGACACATATCATCCATCATCCCACAGTTATCACAGCCAGAATTGCGTTTGTATGCATAACTAATGATGGATAAGGATAGTGGAGTTACAAGGAAAGCTTCTTATGATCCCACTGTGGCACAGACTTTGTACTTGACATGTTCCTGCCTCAGACTCCAAAGTACTGGGATTTTAGGTGTGTGCCGCCATGCCCAGCTCCAAACAAGAATGACAGCCTTAGAAAATCAAGATGATGCACAAGTAACTCCCTGCCAAAAAGTACCCACTGTCATTTTAAAAAATTAAAAAACAAACTGCAATAATCATAAAATTAAAAATGTGTTCAATACCAAACAATATGAAAAAAGAACACTGTGATTTATAACTAGTAAATGAAGCAATTAATGAAAAAAGGTTCTCAAAAGGCTAAGATAAACATTAAACACAACTGGAGATTTAGAGAAACACAAAAAGGAAATGGTTAAACAGAGTATAGTTTATTATTAAATACTGTCCTCCCACTCAGTAAGAAAAAATGCAAATAGCACTTGTATAACCACATTTATAAGTCTTGAGTCATTACAATGAGCAAAAGGAAATATGTACAGAGGATGTATCCTATATGTTTCTGTTTGTGTGAAATGCTAGCACTGGAAGAATGATCTTACAGCAAGCAGTGGTTCTCAGGTGCATGCAGTCTTGTTCCCAAAGGCGCATTTGGCAATAGGAAGTGGATGAAGAGTTCTACTTGCATCTGAAGGGCGGAGGCCCAGAGATGTTGCTGAAAATCCCTACATGTCAAAGAGCACTCTGGCTCCCCGAAAAACCCAACTTTCCAAAATACTAATGGTGCTCAGGTTGAGTGGAGGTTGAGAAGCATTAATTCACAGGAATAAAAAAGACCAGAGACTACCTGTGACTAAGGAAGAAGAAAAGATGATGCTGAGTAAGAGAGGCTTGCTGTGAGGTCATGAGAAAACATTGTATTTCATTACGATGGTTATATGTCTAGAGATATTTGTCAAATTTCAAAATACTTTCTTTAAATGACAGTATTTTATTATATATAAAAACTATGTATCATGTGTATGTGAATGTTTATAGATAATTGAAAACCAATGACTAAGCAAATTAGAATGCCACTCAAACATGAGTAGTTCTAGGTCACAATTTGATGTAACATTTATATTGGACCTAACTAAACTTTTATTAAAGGAATGTGCTTATATATAAAGTTTTTGCTTATGAGAGTCCTAAGGGATTTGGAAGTGAAGCTCATGTTGATAATCCCAGTGTTACAGGGATGAGTAGCTTAGAAGCCACCGAGGAGGTACCTTTCCCCATTCTGACAACTGATATTATTTCCTTTCTGTTACAGTGAAGAGACAAATTTTTCATTTTTAGTAATTGGGGATATTAAATAATTTACCAAAATATATAATTAAAGGGTTATATTTATAAGATATAAACAATGGAGAAAACAGACTATATAATACAAAAAACCTTTAATTTAAAAAAGTAATAATGTAAGTTTAATATAAATACAAAGAAACCCTACTATTCACTTGAGAAATCAGCCTTCTTTTAGTTTCAGTATGTAATCATGAATCTCTATGTACAAAAATATTAAGAGATGCTATGGAAGGAAAAGATATATCAAGGTAACTATCAAGAGACTTACAGTCCACTTCATCTAGCCAGAACTGAAGCATAAACTTACTTGTAGAATTATTGATTTCCATTTGTATTTGTATTCCTTTCTTTCCAGTCATATTAACATGGTCATCATTTCATATTACCCTTGTTATCATAAGCAAGAGAAAGCACTAGAAGAGTCTTCCAGAAGCAAAGGGGATAAAGACAGACACCCAACTCTAAGTTTGGAAGAAATATATAATATTTCTTCTTTCAACATCATATAATTATTCAAGCAGCTTTTATCACAACATTTTCATATAACATACTGTGGAGTTTGAATAAGAATGTCCCCATACGCTCACAGATTTGAATGGCCACCAAGGAGTGGCATTATTAGGAGATGTGACCTTTTTGGAGGGAGTGTGTCACTGGGGGAGGGGTTTGACATTTCAGAAGTTCAAGCCAGGCCGAGTCTCTCTTGTTTCCTATGTGGTTGTAGAACTCTTAGCTACCTCTCCAGCACCATGTCTGCCTACGCTCTGTTCTGCCACACTTCTTGCCATGATGATACTGTAAACCAACCCCAATCAAATGTTTTCTTTTGAGTTGCCATGGTCACACTGTCACTTCACAGCAATAGAACACTGTTTAGAGCACGTACTTCGCTTATATTCACCTCCATTACCTTCCCTGGCCCCGACAGTTTCCTGTCTCTTCCAAATTTATCTCCTTCTTACTTTATTTTCCTTTTAATATAGAGTCCATATAGGAGAGATTTGTGACATTTGTCACAATGTGGCAAATATGTGACATTTATCATTTTTTAATCTAGCTTAGTTCACTTAACTTGATCTGCAGCTCCATCTGTTTCATTGTAAACAACCTAGCATCTAAAGTCTTCCTAGTCTTTGTTAAAGCAACTGCATTTCCTGAAGATAGGACAAGTTTAAAACAGAGTCCTCTTCTTCAATTTATCACTTCATTTTTCTATACTTGTTGGCTAAACATTTACTGAAGGAAATACCAACAAAGTTTTTAAAGATGGAGAATCTATTTGTTTTTATCATTTTACTCAACAAAAATAAGATATTAGCTATTTTAAGTAGATAAATTCATGGAAATAAAACCTCATTCTTCAAAAGAAAATGAGTATTTTTAAACTGGGTATTTTAACATCTGCAGCCCAGAAGAGAAATCATGATCTTAGTGGTACTAAGTTACCAGTCGCTTCACTTAATGAGTTGATGTCAAATAAGAGTCAGCTACTTTTATCTATTAGTAATAAATCAGAATTACAAGAATAAAAGTAATAAAGAAATAAAAAGAGAATGAAAACATGTATTATTTGACAAAAAGGACTAGGTAAGTATTTGAGATAAGGGACAGTTTATTGCTAAATATATTTATATATTTATATGTGTAAGATAGACTTCAAAGGACTTTTCTAACAAGAAAACTAATTTTCACCATCATGTTGCATGGCATTGTATTTGTACTATATTGTTCCTGAGTACTCATGTTTATTGCCCATAGGATTGCCAATTTCATTGTTGTTGTTGCTCTTAGGGTTGTAACCCGATATTTCGTATAAGTCATCAGAATGACTATATGGCAAAGCAATCTAGTCATTTGTTATTTAGGTACTTTCCATTCCTCTACTGAAATATTACTGCAAAGTTGGACATGGTAGTGTGCACTTGTAATTCCAACACTGGGGAGAATGAGGCAAGACCTTTAATTCAAGATCAGCCTGGGATACACAGTAGGACACTGAAACTAAGAAAGAAATAAAGAAAGCAAAAGAAAACAAGAGCTGCACCTACCATGCAACTCTTTCTCCTTCCCTTCCTTAAGAAAGCTTATTTCTACCCATTCTATCAGTGATAGTCTAATGCTGGACATATACTATTAGGATTGCTCAGTGCACTGTAATCCATTTGTAAATAAAAAAAAATTGGCAAAATACAACCCTATGGGAAAGGAGTTAAATATAGTAAGACATGACAGTTTGTTAAAGAAAATCAGTAGATAAATGAATACTGTCTTGTTAAATTAGCATCAAGTTTTATTGAGAAAATGGCAGGTATCTGTGATTCCACAGACTGAATTTCAACATTTTTCATGCAAATAAGTTAAATTACTAGCAAATCTTCAGCTATGAGGTATGGAGTTAGCCAAGGCAGGGGAAATGCTGTCATCATACACTAGCCTTAATACCTAGAAATTCCATGACTCCATAACATTAAGAGATATTAGTGAGTGACATAGAATGTCATGCTCTTATTTTAGCTCCATCTCTGCTTTAGAAATGTTATGTACTTTTACTATTTGTTTCCATTGTGACCCAAGAGAATGCAATAATGCTTAATTATTCCATCAATAGTATTCCACATTCTAAAATACTCAAACAATACAAACAAGAACTTTTTCCTCTAGTAACAACCTGTTATTTTACAGAATTAATATATGTTAATTGTGGCAAGGACCAGAAATCCCAGCACTTTGGAGGTGAAAGCAGAAGAATCAGGAGTTCAAAGTCATCCTCAGCCACATAATAAGTTTTGAGCCAGTGAGAGCTACATGCAACCCTATCTCAAAAGAATTCTTTTTTAGAAAAAAATCCTTTTCTTTCCCATAATATATAATTCACGATGTCTGCAGACTTATACTTCTCCTAATATTCTTGTCATAATGTCCCAAAACAATTTAGATAACATACATGTAGCATGGCAGAAAACTCATGTATTCACCTAAGACATGATATGGCTCCTGCATACAGAAATACATAGAAATTAAAGGTTCAAGCATTTATACTGAATTTATTC